GGTGGACAGCATAAAGTTTCAGTCCTACATGAGCACACATAGATTCCTTTTCATGTTCTTTTTCATTAGATGTTACTACCAGATATTGACTAGAGTTCCCTGTGCTATACAGTAGGACCTTGTTGTTTATCTATAGAATAACTTTAAAGGTAAAGGTTTAAAGGAGATTTCAGAATTGGGCTTTTTGCTCTGCATAGCCTTATATTCAAATATATGATTTTTAAAAACTTTCTAAAAGTTCAATAAGGGGGGAGAAGGTATATAGCTCAAGTGGTAGAGCGCATACTTAGCGTACGCAAGGTCCTGGGTTCAATTTCCGGTACCTCCTCTAAAAATAAATAAGTAACCTAATTTCCTCCCCCCCCAAATTAAAATAAATAAGTAAAAATAAAAGTTCAATAAATGGGGAGTTTGAGATTTACGGGAACTAACTACTATATATAAAATAAACAACAGGTTTATACTGTATAGCACAGGGAACCAAATTCAGTATCTTGTAGTAACCTATAATGAAAAAGAACATGAAAACGAATATAAGTATGTATATATATGACTGAACTATTATATTATGCTGTACACCAGAAACTGATGCAACATTGTATACTAACTATACTTCAATTAAAAAAAAAACCCAAAAAACTTCCTAAAAATTCAAATGTGTGATTTTGGTCTAGCATTTTCAAGATTTTTGCGGTATGTTTTTAGAAGAGCTTATTTTTATCGTTCAGTGTGTTCAAAATTGCTTTATTTCCTAAATAGTTCCTTGTATTGCTAGTAAGTTGTTTCTCAAGGAATTTATCTGGCCAGTCGAAGCTGCTGGTGTATTTTCTTTTTTAAAAAGGGCCACATGAAATCCCACACATTAAAAATACGATTTATTACATTCCAAGATGTATCATTGAAAGGCATTTTTCTTCTGGAAGTTTTTGAAAAGGCCTCTTATTTCTAAATTCGAACTTGAATGAAGTTAGTCAGGCTTGAGACTATTAACAGCTTGAAGAGGTGTTGGTGTTTTTATTTGTCAGATTTGCTCTTTGGTAGAAAAAATACCAACAATACGTGTAAGCAAACATGATGACTCAATATTGCCATATTGTTTATGAACCAATGAGGGATTATTGTCATTTTCAGGTTTTCAGTGAAATTTAATTACAGTGACAAACGAAACACCAGTGATCTATAAAGTAGAACTAACAACATTTAGAGTTCAGCCAACTGCAGGCCCCAAATCTTACTGAAGGGATTCTTCTGAATTCAGAAAGTTATCAGACCTCCAATTTCACATGGCAGGACTTTAAAAAAAGGCAGTCTGACCTTTGCTGCCTTTCTGTCAAGGTCTGGATCAGTGCTCACTAGGCGACCAGAGAAGAGGAATTATCTACAACTCCGTGGGAGAGTCATAGATAATTTTCATGATCACTTCCCTGAGTTAAGCTAACTTTAGGGGATTGTATTTTGGATTCTGAGCATATCGAAAAGTTATAAAGATCCTGTTTGCACAAGAACCTTTCTCTAGAACTGGGAGAATTTGCTTTGGCCTCAAGCATCCAGGTGGTAAAGGCCCTGAGTCTCCCTGCCTCCCCGACTTCTTCCCAGAAGGGAGCTGGGGTTCAGCCACAATGATGGGTACAGAGCTGCCTGCAGGGCCAGGCTTTGTAGTTTGGACAAGAGCTCTGAAGCTGACCAAGAGTATGGCTGCCTGAGGTGGGAGGAACTGAGTGACTGTTTATACCTGGGAGTCTAT